AAAAGGTGTAAGTGACTGAACTGGCATAATTACTAGCCAAAGAGTAGCCGTTAAGTATTTAGATGAGTTGATTTCGCTCAAATTAATATTTTTCTTACACCAAGGTATCAAACTAGTTTTATGTTCCAAAATTTAAAATATTATTTAGATGTAAAACAGGATATACTTATACAAAATACAATTTTATATAAAATATCATTATTAATTTCAAAATATATTGGATTGCCACCGAAATTAGGAGCGGAAGCTTTGCAACATAATAAATTAACTTCTTAAAATTAGATAATATTGCCGTAGAAATAGTCAACGAAACATTAATTCAGTATATTACGGAAGCACGAAGCTATTAAATCGCTAATTATATACTATCATTAATCAAATGGAATAAACACACCGCCGTTAATATCAGTAAAATAAATTTGAGTTATGTCACTAGAAGTCTTCATTGCGTGTCACTATTATAATGTTAGTGACATTATTAGAACTAAAATATCTTCAGTTTTGTTGCTTTAGTAAGTTTGGTCGATGTTTATTTTCGACGAAGAGTTGCGGTACCTACATACATAGACCTTAACGTTTCAATTTAAATTCTTGCTAAATGGAAGTCCATTATTCGACCTAGTTATATTTTGCTCAATTAAAGGAGATTATAAAATAATAATACGCTATAATTTCATTCTATTAATTTGCAATATAAGAACAGTTTTTGTTAAAATAATGCAATTATATTTTAATTTTTAAAACTTTTGCTTTAAAAAGTATTTTTAGTTATTCACACCTTACTTTTATTGTTTCCATTAAAAAATTCCATGCTAAAAATCTCGAGCTTACTTTTAAAACCATTCTATAAAACCGATTTGTTATGATAGTTAATATACGATCTGCTTAAAAATATATATTATTATTATTAAGAAATGAATCAAATACAATTATATTTCATTATAAATAATTGATTCAGTCATACTCTCAACCTTTAGTGAGTTAGTCGAGTATATTTTTAGTTGAAATGTTGTTTTCTTGGAATATTTCAGGTCATGTCGTGTTACGTATTAATTTTGACATTAGAATCTTACCCGCCCTTTCACGATCGAGTCTGCGTGATTATAACTAGCTTTATTGCTCTGTAAACTAAACTATATATATAACTATATTATATAAAACTATACAATGTTTCCGACAATATTATGAAACAAAATTTCAACATTACAATGAAACCATTGACTTTAATTTTTAGAAAAACTATATGTCCAAATAATGTACATATAAATAATTTAAGTAGGTATGTAACAAAATTATTGTATTTAAATAAAACATAACGTAGTTTTGACATGTAATTAAACAAATATAATAAATCTAATTTAACAGGATACTTTTTCAAACTGTACCATAAAAACTGTTCTATATTTATAACATATCTTAATATTAGCATCACATTAAGTGAGGGAATATTTAATATTCAACGCAGTATTTTGAGCATAATACAGTAACGTGGAAACCACTTAGAGAATGTATACGTATACTAGTTTGAATATCCCGATGCTTTGCACATATTGTGAACTGACTTGTATTCTGCTCTAATGTACAGATGCAACCAAAAGTGCTTAATAAACACCGTACTATGCTTTTAATGATTCTATTTTAGTACTCGTATGTAGAACATATAACTTTTTCATATATTTGTGTCTTTTATTATAATTATTGGTTTTTATCATCTGAATGAAATATTTTGTTCCATAAATATATGTACGATTATTATTATTGTAATTATTATTTATTGTAGACTTTTAAATGTAGAACTTAAACGCAAATTATACGATTTCCCAATAATCCCTTTATATGCATATGAGAACAAGCTTGAGATGTTGGTTGACCTACTAATTAAACTTTAATGTGAACATACATAGTACTTCAGAACTGTATTGACGTAAGAATAGGTTTGGTATGATCTCTCAAGATGTATGGAATTCCTGTGGGAATTGGTATGTTTCATAGGAATTTGCACATAATTGTACTATACACAATGTAATTATTAAATAACTCTTATATTAAAATATTAAGTGTTTCAATTTTTATGCTTCAAAACATGTAGTAACGATGAAGTCATCTTTTATAAAATCTTATGTGCTTCGTTAACAATATATTAGATCGTCTTCACTTTTTCCTCGTATATAAGTGTACCAAAGACAAAGCTAAAAAATATTCGACATTGTAACAAATCGCAAACCTTGGGCTTGTCAGTTCGTGAATTGAGAGGGGTCCATTCAAATAATAGCTTGTCATCAGAAAAGACCTCAAGGTTCGACTGATATAGGTAAGTCCATCGACGGTATATATATTTTTTGTTAGAAAATATAAAAAACTTGCAGTAAACATTATTTATTTTACCCTTTAAACTCTATTTATAATCGTTATTAATTAAAACTCTCTAAACTTGATACGCTGTCTTAAGAAAGTTTTGTTCGCTTCTTAGAACTTCACACATCACTACATCAGAATGGTTAAAGGGTCGATGTTTTCACTATTTAACCATTGCTAACTATTTATAGGCCATATTATAGTAGATCATCGGCACATCAGCACAAAATTAAACAGTTGCAAATTGTTAAACGTTAATAATAATTGTATCAAATCAAATTACGAAACCTCGTATGTAAATGTAATCTACAGTGGGATGAACTGGGACAATTTATGTTTATTTAATCATGCACGTCTGTTATCGTTTTGCATTAATCTACTGCAAATACAAAAACACTAGTTCTAGTTAATAAATAAATAGTATCAAAACATATTTGCATATTGAATTTATACGGCTAAGAGAATTTGAAACCGGCATGATTTTAAAATAACAAATTTGTCTACCTCCTCTTTAAACATGCTCATAAAATTGCTTAAACACTCGCAACTTTATCAGTAAAAATACTGTATAATTATTATAGAACCGCCTTTTTTATTTTTATTGTAGAATATTTAACGACTTGAGGCGAACAATGACGTAATAGCCTGTCGAGAATAGTGCTAGGTCAGAACGTCAAACACAGATAATTTAAGCACTACATTCTTGTTTAAAGTCTGAAAATAGGTAAGCTGTATCCACCCATCAATGAAAATTAATTTATTCTAGTGTTATATTTAAGAATTCTTATATCTTGACTAATTTTTGAAAAATTATAACCAAATCCATTTTCAAAATCTATTCTATTAGTTTAAATCCAGATTTTTAATAAAAATAAAATCTGTTCTATCCACTCAATTATATTACATGTTCTTATATTTTATGGTTTTATTACATCTCATAATTTGATTATACGTATATATATCTCGACCAAATATTTTTTTTTCCAAATGTCAAGTTGTATAAAAAAAATCATATGTCATTTTATTTATAGGTTCCACATTTAATAAAAATTCTTTTTTATTGACAGTTGATTAAATTCTTACAGAAGTAACTTTTGTAATATTTTGTATCTTCTTCTTCTTCTACCTGGCAATTTCCCAGCTATAGCCAGGGTCTGCCTTACATGTTGTGAATAGTTTTTGGCTATTTGTTTTTACGACCGGCCGCCTGCCTGACATCAACCCACTTTTGGGAATCAACATTAATCAGTGATGTCTTAATACTCTTAAAAAGTACATATGATTCGGAAAAATCACATTGGTACTTGCCCGGGCCAGGATCGAACCCGCGCCCTCGGCAACGAGAGGCGGGCCCTTTAACCACTGAGCCACCACTTTTGTAATATTTTGTATCTAACCTTTTAAAATTATATATTGTTATCTTCATATTTTAAAGTAACATTTTCTGTAAAATTATCAGCAAAGCTTTGCAACAGCGGGTGCTCAATAAAACATCATAATTCTTTATATATCTTAAATGACAATCTGGACCATATTTCTTAGATAAAATAGGTTAAATGATTTATCATATACTTAGTAACATTATAGTTTTAAAATAATAAGACAGAAAATTAAAAAAAATGTGGTAAAATTTACAGTTATTTTAATTTTTATTTCCTTTGCTTCTTGTAATTTATAATTACAAATATATATTTTTTTACTTTTTCGTATTCAACTTTTATTTATAATAAATATTTCTTTGGATACCTTTTAACAAAATATTTATTTATTTAAATAAAATTACCGGGAAAGTATAATTGATAGTATAATGTTGTAAAAAATTATTTAAAAAATCCTGCATTTCTTACTGCATTTAAACACACTTAGACACTCATGTACACCTATGTGAAAAATTCAATAATATTTTATAACGTACATATATTAAACCAAAACAGTTTTAACTTCCTTGTATGACTAACATTTTTAAACCTCGAAGGAATATATATTTTTTCAAATTCTTAAATTCCAAATTATGCAACAGTGGCAATACATCCATAACTGTATATATAGCGGTGACCTACTATAAATATTTTCCATCAAATGTATTATTAACAATTTAAAAAACGGATATAAACTCATCATGATTATTTACATCCTATTATATTAGTTAAACTCATTACGAGGCAACTATATCAAAAGAAAAATAGTTCATCATCAACGATGTTTGTAACTCCTAGTTGATAAGATTCTTATAAACTTTTTATTTTATGTCTTTTGACCCAACGCTTTGTGTCCTTTACTTCTCTAAGAGAAGGAATTCCACTTAAACTATTTTAAGAGCAATAAAGGCTGAGTACTTCTAGTAGCTTACTACCATCTAGAATAGACGCATTAACGAGCTTAATAAACTTAGTAGTGTTTATGGCCTTTTCTATGTAATAATAGTTATCTCTTCTCGTGTTTGAAATTTCGTTTCTAGATTACTAACATTAACAAAGTGCGGGTAAAATAATTTAGGATGACACTTACATGATATACGGCGGCTAGGATAGTAGGGAATAACAATTCGCATTATCTGTAGCGTTAATAATTTCCGTGTCCTAAGTAGCTCATATATTAACGTAATAACGTTTATGTTTAATTGCAAACTAATTTTATTGTTCCAGCTGTATACGAGGTGATTATCTGAAAGTATACTGGGAAGTTCAGGGACCTGGACCTCCTGGTGTCATCAATGAGCGTTCAGCGTGGGCCAGAATACTCTGCGGTAATAGGGCTGATGCTCCTCCAGCCCTGTACTCTCCAGGTTCTTCGCTTGTACTGGAATTCCATTCTGATATCCACAAGAATAATGCTACGGGATTTCTCGGAACTTACAGTTTCATTGAAAGACGTAAGTATTTTGCATTAAAATTAATGTTTCTCCTCTGAAGTCTTGAAATTTAATAAATAAAAAGAACTGAATTTTTTTATTCAGCTTCTTAGAAGACATTATTGAAATAATCTTGGACGACTTTGCCTTTGTGAACGATACATTCTGAAGTCTGAAGCCAAATGGGTTTACTCCAGATGCTTTGACTCTTTTGGAATCTTTACTATTTTTATCACATTCATAAATCAGAAGGAATTGGTACAACTAAAATTCAAAAGCCTTATTATTCCTTAATGAGGCTAAAAGTTACAAATTAAATATTCTAACAATTTTAAATACTTAACTGTAGTACGCATCCAAAGCATTTAATTTGTGGTTTATAGTATTTGGAACGAATTATTAATTAATCAGAATGGAAGCTTAACTTTACAGTAAAATTAACGATATACTACCAAAATTTACAATTTTCGTGAATGTTTCCCGCAATTTAAATATTGATACCCAAAAATACATAGTATTAATAGATTTTGGAAATAAAACTCTAGGCAAATAATGACATACTTTTAAATCGTATAAAATACAATAGAAATGAGAAAAAATATATAAATACATTGATTTAATCATAGAACTTAATGGATTTCATTTGCCACAAACCTTCACAGCGTGGCACAGTTAATCAACATCGCGGATGAGTTCAGATAGTATGGCTACCAGAATTCTTATTTCTGGCCTCATTGGACTTCGTCGAATAAACAATACAATTTCATTTTGATAAAAAAAATATACAAGTTAATTATATTTTTACTATGTCTTTAAATCGATTCCTTAATTTTTAAATATTCTACGTCAGAATTATAAATTTAAATGTTTTTCAGAAATCTATGCATACTAATTTAAGAAATCTACTGGTATTAATGAATACGAAGGAAACTTTCCAGCTTCGAATTCGATAAAACTTCAAATTTAAACCTTTGTCTTTAAGCAGTAATTTTATGAATATTCCTCCCGTATAAAATCTATGACTGGATTTTTGAATCCAGAAAATTAGCACAATTCAACATATTATTAAATAATTTATATGAACGAGGCTAAGATATCTTTTTTTTATTTTTTCTTTCATAAAGAATTATCTGTTTATAATCTCATAACAATAATATGTACACTTTACCAAGAATAAAATATCCTTCTTAAATTTGCAGTAATTAGATTACTAATATACATATACATATGCAAATATATGGAAACTGTAACGTCTTTATCTCTACTACCGTCTTTATAAATACAGTGCTTAGGAAATACATACTATACAAATATCAAAACGATAATAGAAATGTTGTCAAGCAAAACCAATTTGGCTTCTATAATATGGTTTTCTTAAAAATTATTTTGGCAAGTAAACTAGAGAACAGGTGTTTCACCGAACCACAAATTTCGAGATTTTATGCTTTTCCATTTTTTCACTGCATTTTTTCCTTTTAAATCCACTGCTCTAAAATATCACGACTTATAAAAAAATCTTAACTTTAACAAATTATTACTTTTTATTACACTATTATTTTCCGATATTGATAATAAACAAGTGTATAAGACTCAGAGTTGTAATAAGCAAACTAAAGACTTTTCGAATTTGCTATAAGAATTCTATAAGCCGCCTTATCATAAAACGCAATACTTATAAAACTATAACAATAATACGAACAATAAATAAATCCCAGCCAATAATGTATCCCTCTTGAAACATTAAAGGTTACCTTATGAAAAAACACTTGTGTCGATTTTATTATAGCTTTTCAAGTAAAGCTTACGTTAATGTAATTAAATGTGTTTATACATTTTACAAGGCAACCAAAATGAACTAAATGCTCGCTGTACTCAGAGGTGGTTACTTTAAATTACTTCAAATAACATTCATAAAGAGAAACTAATGAACCCTAAGAATGGACTCAATAAGCAATATAACAAAGAAAGAAAACTGAACCCTAGCACGTTTATCTTAGTTCAGTCCAAACACACGTGGCTCAAGGAGGTTTTTTAAACTATTCACTGTTCTTTAAGGAAAAGTAGTCATACAGTACCCGATGATTACCAAAAAGGACATGTTGCAATGAATCGAGGCTTTCGATCAGGACGAGGAACTTTGCAAGTGGTTATTCAATGTACTTTTTAAGGACAGTATCTCCTATCTTTTCCGCCGCCTCAGTTTCAGAGAAGTTAGAGAATGAACGTTAGTTACCTCAATAACAGTATGCACAACGAGCATACAAAAATGTTTTAAGTAATAGAAATGAAAAAACTACGTGATAATAAATAAATAAATTACATTACTAAATATGTACTAAAGATATAAAATATATTACTTTAATTCTATTTTGTATCTAGTAACAGAATTTTTATAATTTTGGTTTACAAATTTGGCATTAACATTCAGGCAAAAATAATCCTTGGCAATATTCCATCGGAACAAGAACTCTTCCATAATTTGTAGCAGATTTTTTTAAATCGTCTTTAATTATTTTCTCCGTTAAGCAATTAAAAATGCTCTAAGTGCCAATATGTTCATAATCCTACATTTTCAAACGAATGAGACAGCGTCTGTAACTCTGTATTCATAAAATCTTACCATATTTCTCAATATATAAATGGTTTAATGTACATATGTACCTTTTCTTTTTTTATTTTATATTTCCTACTAATAAAATATAAAAAGATCTTCATTTTCATTAAATGAAATATTAGTCTCGCAATTTCGTTTATAATCCTTATTATATACTTTAATTTATGCATGTTTTGCTTGTAAAAAAAATTACTATTTCTATTTAAAGATTATTATGGAAGCAGGGACTCATATTTGTCAATCTAAACTAAAAAGAACTAAGAGTAGTTGTTCCATAAATGGAACATGAGTTAAAAGATGTTATTATAATTGCGTGTTAGAATTTTTAAAATATTAAATAATAATTAATTATATCATAAGTGTTTATTTTATATTAGAAGCTTTATAGGAGCTTAGAAAATATTATTATTGCCATCGTACTGTAGCGTTTAAGGTCATCACGAATAATAAACTAAGGCAAGTACACAAATGTCAAGTATTCTCTTTTCTATTTGGATTCATTGGGCGTAGTCTTATGAATTTTTTAGAGTGATTCTTCAGAAATGTTGTTTTTGCTAATAAATAAATACAAGAATCAGTAATATTAGAAGGAAAACAAATATAATCTTATAATGAGAATTATTTTGCAATTGACCTCATACAAAAAAATTCATTTCCCCTTACGTAGTTTTATTTTTAAAATCATATGTTTACAATTTTGATGTAGACAACATGTATAAAACCCACTCCGAAGAGCCGAGAAATTCTAATAGAACGATATAAGAATAACAGAAGTTTTATTCGAAATGAGGCCTTGCATTCAGCATATTAAAGTTTAATATTGTTTTGTCGATGTACCGTGGTGAAATCTAGTCGACCTAGACAAATGTTTGCTGAGGACTTTCCACACCTGTGCTCTCTCTATATATCTTTGTCAGATGATTACACTTCGCTGCGCTACGTTGACAATGATAGAAGGTATCGCGGATTCGACTTGACAGCATCGACTTCACGATGTTTTCAACCGTCAAAATATCATATTTACTATAAAATTATAAATGAAATTATTTTATTTTAAAAGACATTTTAATAATTTATTTTTATTAGATTTTTTCATACTTTTCATAGACATGTTTCAATCATTTGAAACAAATGAATTAGATATAAGTTCTAAAACATATTTTCAAGTAGGATAAAAGTTCTGTTTTCTTGTATATGGAAATGCTTTATGAATATTGAAGAATCAATGTTTGCTTACGTTTTTTAGGTTCCGCTAAATGGCAGTCTGCAGACATATTGCAGTAATTTGGAGATCTAAACTTGAAATTCCTTGTATAAAATCCGGCCGCCTTTTTGTATTAATTCGTATTTCTATCTAAGTGGCACTTACAGCAAATATATTTTTTCATATAATTCAAACAAACTGTTTCCCTTATCTACTTCAAATAATTTTTTTACCGTCAAGTAATATCCCTGAGAATCATTTTTAATCAGTGCCAAAATGTTACAATGTTATATTCAAATTACTTTAATTTTATTATTGAAAAATTTTAAAATGCGAAAATTATATTTTACTACAATAGCACATTCAAAATTATTGATAACAGTTTTCATAGACATCAAGAACACATTAGAACCTTTCAAAATTTTAAAGCAATTTCATTTAACTGCATATTTAAAATGAAATTTCAAACATAAAATGTTTCTGTTTATATTTAAATAAATTGATTATTATTAAACAAATTTTCTCAAAAATATCTTTTTGAAAATCATGAATATAAGGATTAATTATTTAGTGATTCGACATTTTCAGTTTAACATATTCTCGTCATGCAAAAATTCTAATGGTCGTCATTTTACACAATGTTTTATAACATTAGTACCGCATTTCATCATTTGTCAAGACATTTTTCTCGTGTTCGATTAAGTTAGATTCGTTACTTTATAAAATACCGATGCCATTTGAAAACAGACATACAAGTTGCCTGCGATATATACATAATCACATTTTGCTTTCAATATCAAATAATATGAGTATTAATGGCTCAATCATCAAGCAATAATTATCCAATTCTTTAAAGACGTCTATTACAATATTGTTAAAGATCTTAAAATAAGCTATTGAAAAAATCCTTAGTAATATCAAAATGAATATTTCTTATTGTAAAGTAATAATATTAAAGTAATAAATAATATTTATCGTACCTCATGGTTCGTATATGAATAACGATTTAAGGTAAGTCTACAAAAAGCAAAGACGGGCTGAGTAGTTCAAATAGGATAGCGCCAGTCTATGCAAAAGATGTCGATGAAGCAGAATGTTTAAAAAGATACAAAAGAAATAATACCAATAAATATAAATTTATTATTTTGATAAATCACATTGGATGATCTCAACCTAAAGCCGCTCTTAAGTAATCGATATACC